AAAAAAAAAAACAAAAACGGCAGAATGGAGTTGTGCGTCAAACGGCCATGCTGGAATGGCTGGGATGCTCCCAAGATGCCAGCAGATAAGTCTGAGTATGTTGTGGCAAAGCCATTCTCATCAGGTGGCAACACTGGATCAGGGTGGAAAGGGTTTCCAGGGAACGGGTGATGGTACTTGGTTGCCTCTAGGTACTTGCTTGCCCTGGGAACAGGAAACCTAAGCTGTATTCTTACCCCACCCAATGAGCCAGCCCCAAGGCCAACTCCTCCTGGGAGTGCTCCCGGAGCTGTCATCCGCCTCCAGAGGACCCACCCTGGCTCCTTCCTTATTCAGTCCTGACCTTCCTAATGTGCGTGTGTGTGTGTTGTGTGTGTGAGAACCAATGAGCCCATGAAAGAGACAGTCCCTCCCTGTCCTCACACTCCAGACAGCAGCGGGCTCCCCAACACATCCACCTGACACTTGGTTCTGCCTGGATCACAGTGTGCACTCCTGTGCGTTAGACCTGTGTACACCTCACTCTCTCAATCTGTCGGGCTGGGAGCTCCTCAAGGGCAGAGGCTGTTTTCTTCTGCACTATTTAGCATATTTGACATATAAAAGATAATCAGTAAATTGAGACATCAGCTATGGGGGAATGGAAAAAAAAATGCTTGGAATAAGACAGACGTAGTTTGTTGTTGTTGTTTTGAGACGGTGTCTCACTCTGTCACCTAGGCTGGAGGGCAGTGGCACGATCTCAGCTCACTGCAACCTCTACCTCCTGGGTTCAAATGATTCTCCTGCCTCAGCCTCCTGAGTAGTGGGGATTACAGGCACCTGCCACCACGCTTGGCTAATTTTTGTATTTTTTAGTAGAGACGGAGTTTCATTATGTTGGCCAGGCTGGTCTCGAACTCCTGACCTCAGGTGATCTGCCCTCTTCGGCCTCCCAAAGTGCTGGGATTACAGGCGTGAGCCACCGCCCCAGGCCCAGACAGACCTAGTTCTGATTCCCGTTCTGCCACATTAGCTGCTGTGTGACTTTGGGTGAGCAACTCAATCACTCTGAGCTTCGAGTTGCTTATTGCTAAATTGAGAACAGTATAATCAACCTTTGAGTTTGATAAATGATAACTGAACGGGTCCAGGTATGTCACACACTTCAGCATAGTGCCTGGCAAAAAGCATGCAATGTTTCTGGACCACAGTGGGGGTTAAGGGGCCTGGATTCTGTTCTGAGCTTTGCCTTTGTCCTGGAACAGGGTATTCAACTTCTCCAAAGCCCAGTGCTCTCATCTGTGAGAAGGGGGCATCTCCACACCCACTTCACAGAACTGTGGAGCACTTTCAACTTAAAATGATACACAGGAAAGTACCTGACACACAGTAGCTACTGAAAGAAACCTTTGTTACATCGTCTAGACAAACCGTGCCTGACCCTTTATACTCTGGAATCTCCCAGTGCTCAGGTCTATAATGAGACAAAAACACACTCTAGGGTAGTTATTGGCAGTTAGGTCCAGCCCAGGGGAGCTTCCCATTTAGAGAACACGCGGGCAAGTTGCCTAAAACCTCAGCTCTCCACACCACAAGGTCCACGGTTCTAAGGTACCCATTTCCTTTCCCAGCAGAAAGAGTCCAGGTCTTCCTATAAAGACAAATCACGCCGTCCCTCGTAAGAGCTGCAAGCAAGGATAGAGACAGAGCAAGACACACGCTTTGATTCAGGATGTTCTGTGATGTTTATAATTAGAAAAGTTGCTCGGAACAGGACAGAACCTTGGGGAGGCTGATGGGGAAGCAGTCCAGACTAGGCTGGACTTTGAAAGAGGACCCACAGGAAGGAAAGGCAAGGTGGCTGGGGGTGTGGGGTGGGGTTCTAAGTCCCAAGGTAGGTTGCTAGGAGGGGTGCTGGCCTGGGCTGGAGTGTAATTTGGAAACATCATCTTTGCCAGCCTCTGTAGGGCTGGGGCCCACTGGGCAGGTGTCCCCAGGGCTGTGAGACATCTTTATGAAGTTCTCCAGGTGGCTGTCACAGGCGGTGGGCATTCTCTGGCTATCACTGGGTCTTCTGCAGGTCCTCAGGCCCAAAGGAGGAGGGCAGCAGCTCCTGGACCGTCATGACAACATAGGTACCATCCGGCTTGGTCATATACACGGGCCAGTTGGTGCCAAACTGGAAAAGAGGCAAAGCTGGCGTGAGAGATGCAGTGTGGCTGAGGGTCCTGAGACAGACTGGGTTTGAGTCTGACTCTGCCACTCAGTGGCTAATATTCCTCTCTTTGCCTTGATTTTCTCATCTGTAAAATGGGAATGACCATAATTGTTCCTGGATCATAGCGCTGTAGGGAGGAGAAAATGAAAAAATGCTGTGAAACTGAACAGTGCATGGCACATGGTGAACAGGCACCATTCAGGACTCACCCAGGGCTTCATAAGAGCAACAGCCGGCTGGGCGCAGTGGCTCACGCCTGTAATCCCAGCACTTTGGGAGGCTGAGGCTGGCGGATCACAA